TTTAGGGTTTAGGGTTTAGGGATTAGGTTTAGGGTTTAGGGTTTAGGGTTTAGGATTAGGCTTAAGGGTTAAAGTTTTAGGGTTTAGGGTTTATTGTTTAGTGTTTAGGGTTTAGAATTTTTGGTGTAAGGTAGAGGATATAGGGTTTATGATTTAGGATTTAGGGTTTAGGGTTGGGGTTTAGATTATATTGTTTAAGGTTTAGGGTTTAGGATTTGGGGTTTAGTGTTTAGGGTTTAGGGTTTATGGTTTAAGGTTTAGATTTTAGTGTTTAGGGTTTAGGGTTTAGGGATTAGGTTTAGGGTTTAGGGTTTAGGGCTTAGAATTGGGCTTAAGGGTTAATGTTTTAGGGTTTAGGGTTTAGGGTTTAGGATTTATATTTTAGGATTTTAGATTTAGCGTTTCGGTTTTAGGTTTTAAGTTTTAGGGTTTAGGATTTAGTGTTTATAGTTAGGGTTCTGGGCTTATGGTTTAGAGTTAAGGGTTTAGGATATAGGGTTCAGGGTTAGGGTTTGGGTTTTAGTATTTAGGATTTTGAGTTTAGGGTTTAGGGTTGAGGGTTTAGATTTAGGATTTATGATTAATGGTTTAGGGCTACAGTTTAGAATTAGGGATTAGATTTTGGGGTTTTGGGTTTAGTGTTTTGGGTTTAGGGTTAGGGTTTAGGGATTAGAGTTTAGGAATTAGGATCTAGGGTTTAGTATTTAGGGTTTAGGGTTTAGGGTTTAGGTATTAGAGTTTTGGAATTAGGGTTTAGGATTTAATATTTAGGATTTAGGGTTTAGGTTTTAAGTATAGGGTTTAGTGTTTAAGGTTTTGGATTTAGGTGTTAATGTTTTGGGTTTAGTGTTTAGGGTTAGGGTTTAAGGGATAAGGTTTAGGGGTTAGGGTTTAGGGTTTAGGGTTTTGGTTTAGGGTTAGGGTTTTGGGTTAATGGTTTAAGATAAAGGGTTTAGGATTTAGGATTTAGGGTTTAGGGTTAGGGATTAGGTTTTAGGGTTTAGGATTTTTACTTTGGGGTTTAGGGTTTAGGGGTTGGGTTTAGGGTTTAGGAGTAATGGTTTAGGGCTATGGTTTAAGGTTTAGGGATTAGATTTTAGGGTTTAGGGTTTAGAGTTTAGAGTCTAGGGTCTAGGGTTTATGAATTTCGTGTTTAGGTTTTAGGGTTTAGGGTTTATGGTTTTAGGTTTTGGGTTTAGGATTTAAGGTTTAGGGTTTAGGGTTTAGGGTTTTGGGTTTAGGGTTTAGGGTTTAGAATTTAGAGTCTAGGGTCTAGAGTTTATGAATTTCGTGTTTAGGTTTTAGGGTTTAGGGTTTATGCTTTTGGGTTTTGGGTTTAGGATTTAAGGTTTAGGGTTTAGGGTTTAGGGTTTATAGTTTACAATTTTGGGTTTAGGGATTAGAGTTTAGGATTTAGGGTTTAGTATTTAGGGTTTAGGGTTTAGGTATTAGTGTTTTGGAATTAGGGTTTAGGGTTTAACATTTAGGGTTTAGGGTTTAGGGTTTAAGGTTAGGGTTCAGTGTTTAAGGTTTAGGATTTAGGTGTTAATGTTTAGGATTTAGGGTTTAGGGTTAGGGTTTACGAGATAGGTTTAGGGTTTAAGGTTTAGGGTTAGGCTTTTATGTTTATGGTGTAGAATAAAGGGTTTAGGATTTAGGGTTTATGGTTTTAGGTTTTAGGTTTTGGGTTTAGGATTAAAGATTTAGGGTTTAGGGTTTAGGGTTTTGGGTTTAGGGTTTAGGGTTTCGAGTTTAGAGTCTAGGATCTAGGGTTTATGTATTTCGTGTTTAGGTTTTAGGGTTTAGGGTTTATGGTTTTGGGTTTTGGGTTTAGGATTTAAGGTTTAGGGTTTGGGGTTTAGGGTTTTGAGTTTAGGGTTTAAGGTATAGAGCTTAGGGTTTAGGGTTTATTGTTTAGGGTTTAGGGTTTAGGATTGAAGGTTTAGGGTTTTGGGTTTAGGGTTTAGGGTTTAGAGTTTAGAGTCTAGGGTCTAGGGTTTATGAAATTCGTGTTTAGGTTTTAGGGTTTAGGGTTTATGTTTATGGGTTTTGGGTTTATGATTTAAGGTTTAGGGTTTAGGGTTTTGGGTTTAGGAGTGATGGTTTAGGGCTATGGTTTAAGGTTTAGGGATTAGATTTTAGTGTTTAGGGTTTAGGGTTTAGAGTCTAGGTGAAACGACCCCAAAAATGTCCGAAAATGTGCTTCAGAAACACCTATAATTGTAATTTTCATATATCTCAAAATCCGTGCGTGATTTCGGAAATCCGACTTCATATTCTTGTTTAGGGGGTCAAATTGAGTGGGGAATGGGTCTAACCCAAATTTTAGAGCAACCGTATCAAAATCCGAAATTTCCAAGTGAAGCCTTTTCGAGGGTCTACTTTGGAGGGTCATATCTCCTAGCACACAAATTATTTGTGTGGCCAATAATATATCCATGGAAAGTTCTTTGAGTTAGCTATCTAACGCACTTCGTTTCATCTTATTCGGAGTTCGGACGAAGAAGTTATGCCCATTTTCGTAAAGTCTGTCCGGCAGAAAATCCAAATTCCAGTAGCTGATTTTACTGTTCATCTACTGTTCACCCGCCTTTTTTTTTTCTAAGTGTTGGACCCTTTTTTTCAAAGGACTTATATTAATTCCTAGATACCATAATCCAATTCCCATCCCAAAAAAAACATTTCCCTCTCTACAATCCTCCATTTAAGAAGAAGAAGAAGTGGGAGCTAGGGCTTTGGATTCAAGGCTTTCTTCATCAATTTTCGTGGGAGATCATAGCAAAGGTATGGGGGTCTTGATCCTTGTCTAATTTTCCATACAAGGAGCCAAATCCAAAGTTACTTCAAAATATGAAAAATCTAGGTTTTCACTCAATCTCATGGGTTCTTCCATCAAATGGTTTTAAAAGGTTTCTAATGGCACTTTATGGTTATATTGTTGTTGTATTGACGATTTAAGATGAAAATACTCCATGAACCCATGATTTCTCTCTATTCCTAGTTTATGCCTTTATGAAGTGGTTGCTAGATAATGAATGTATATGAATCAAACTTGTTTAAAGGTCTTTAGATTGTTGAAGTATGTTATTACCCATGCTTATTTTATGGTGTATTGTTGGTGTATTGGTATGTGAGGCTTATGGCCTTAAAGGCATAGTATGAGAAATTGGAGTGTTATCATGACATTATATGAATGAGAATCCAATGAAGATAATGTGATCATGTTATGAATGTAAAGGTGTTGTTGTAGGTTGTTCACTGTTTTGGTTGCATAATTACTACCCTAATTTCCATGCTCTTTGATTTCATTACATGCCTTCAAGGTGTTTGACAAAATGTCCAACTATGGAGAATTGATAAATTGATGTTTTAAAGCTTGAGTTATGAGATGTATGGAACTTCAAAGATGTGTTGATGACAAACTAAGCTTGTGTATATGTTCATTCCATACGTGAGATTGCATTAGAGCCTAATGAGAATTTCCTATATAAAGTGTTGCATGACCATGCCCGGTCCGGGGGAAAAGAACCGGACAACCATGTGAGAGGTTTATATCTCACCACCTAGGATGTTTGGGGTGTGACCAAACATCAACCATGTGAGAGGTTTATATCTCACCACCTAGGATGTTTGGGGTGTGACCAACATCAACCATGTGAGAGGTTTATATCTCACCACCTAGGATGTTTGGGGTGTGACCAACATCAACCATGTGAGAGGTTTATATCTCACCACCTAGGATGCTTGGGGTGTGACCAACATCAACCATGTGAGGGGTTTATACCTTGCCACCAGGGTGTCCGGGTGTGAACGGCATCCCCCATCCTAAGTTGGGGTTATAGATTGGTTGGATCATGCATACACATATGATATCTACTATTAGTATAGATTTACTTAAACATGTTTTGACTTCACTTTGATCATGCATCCTCATATTGTTATTCATAATGCCTATGAAACTATTTCTTGTATTTCGATTGTGTCCTTGTTTATTGTTGTGTTGCACCCCGCATACTTAGTACATTCCAAGTACTAACGCATATTTTGCCTACATGATGTCACCATGTAGGGACCGGAGCTACTCTTGATCCTTCTCTCCATTCACGTGGCTAGTACGACGCTTATCCGAGTTTGTTGGTGAGTCCTCAATAATTCGAGGGCTATGTTATGTTTCTTACTCCTATGTTTTGAGACTTTAGCTTGCAATTGTATTTTAACTATGAGGGGAGCCGGTAATATGTCATGGCCCCCGTCCTATCTATGTATGTAGAGGTGTGCGTTGGACGAGTATTTTGTAAATGAGCTTGACTCTTGTTCTATGATGTCATTTTGAAATGGTTTGCCCTTAGTCCCTATTTCCCGTTAATTAATGTTGAATGTACTTCCGCGACCGATGAAGTGTGATGACAAGTTTGAGAGGCTTGTTTGGGGTTCCTTCGGGTTCCTCATTCGCCATGTCACGTCTAGGCCCTAGGCTTGGGTCGTGACACTAGGGTCTAGGGTTTATGAATTTCGTGTTTAGGTTTTAGGGTTTAGGGTTTATGGTTTTGGGTTTTGGGTTTAGTATTTAAGGTTTAGGGTTTAGGATTTAGGGTTTTGGGTTTAGGGTTTAGGGTTTTGGGTTTAAAGTCTAGGGTCTAGGGTTTATGAAATTCGTGTTTAGGTTTTTTTTTATTATTATTTTTATTTTAACGACCCTTGGAGGGGTCAGGGGCTTAGCAACACCCCCAGGCCTTAGCATAAATAAAGCAAAAGTACAAGGAGGGGGACATAAACCTAACCTCCGATCCTATGGTGGTTCTGTAGTTGACTTACCTAAGGTTAATCAACTCTTCACCGTACAAAAGAGATAGACCAAGAAACTAAGCACCTAAGAGAGGACTCCTCTCGATACAAAGCATCTAGGAATCGTAAATAAGGGAGACTCTCCCCTTACAAAGAAAAAACTATACCTTTTCAAAAGAGCTACCATAGCTAGGCTGAAGAAGTTCGAAGATAACTCAAGGTGGTTCTTTGATCCTTTTGATTTTCCTTCTTCTGAAACTTGCCATTTCAATCATATCTAGGCGATAAAATCCTCTTGCTTCTTTTGGTAGTTGATGAATGTTGAAATATAGTTGCGGAGTGGTAACCTTGTGGCTATGTTTTGAAAGAGAATCAGCGACAAAGTTGGCTTCTCTGAAGGCGTGCTTGCATGCAAATTCTTGTGTTTGTTCGATGAGGGCCTGTAATTTCATTACTTGTATGTTAATACTCCAATGAGGGTCGGTTTTGTGCATTATCCAGTCCACTAGAAGCTGTGAATCCACCTCCAAAATGAGTTTTCTGTATCCTAATTCGAAGGCCCAGGTCATCCCGAAGATGGCTGCTTCTGCTTCAGCCTGATTGTTAGTACCTTCCCCCAAGGGAGTGGCAAATGCTAGGATCATCTCTCCAGTTTGATCTCTTAAGATGCCTCCTGCTCCAATTCTGCCGGGATTACTTAGAGCACTGCCATCCGTGTTGATTTTTATCCATTGTTCTGGAGGTTTTATCCACCTGACAGGGGTTACTTTGGTATCATGAATGCATTTTTCCCCTAGTTGGATCAGTTCCCTCCAGTTTGAGGGCCATTTGATTTGAGGGAAATTGGTTGTCATGAGCTTGTAGTTGTCCTTATAAATTGCGTATTTGACTCTGCTGGCATTGGATTGCTTGCCTCCATATTTGTTAGCACATTTATTCTTCCAGAGATTCCAACAAATAAATATTGGTGTAGCTTGTAGTAACAGCCTGTGTGCTTCGTTCTTGTATTTGGCTGACCACCATTGCGTGATGAGTTGAGACAGGGAGCTGTGATCTGTAGCAATTCCAGCAGTTTCAGCAAAGCTTCTCCACACATGAGTAGCAAAAAGTCCATTGTTGAAGGTGTGCTCTATGGTATCTAGACCAGGCCTGTTACAACAGCAAAAACACGCGACTGGCTCACTACCAAAACTGTTAAGTTTTTCATTAGTAGGAATTTTACCTCTTAAAATTCTCCACAAAAGAAAAGAAGATTTAAAAGGAATACACTTATGCCAAATGAAAGAGTTAAACTTATTCTTAGTCTTCTTCTCCCTGATTTCATTCCATGCCGATGAGCAGCTGAATTTTCCATCCGTGCTCAATTTCCAAATCGCCTGATCTGGGAGGTCTTGTTGAATGTGAAGTTCTGTGGATAAGATGTTGGCTAGTTGGTTGTTAGGGGCCTGTTGCAAGAGCAAATTCCAATTCCATTGTCCGTCATGCCAAAATTCTGCCACAGTAGTATTGTTGAACCTCTTACTGTCATTCGAGAACTGGGCAAGAGGGCCAGCGCCAAGCCAATTATCCCACCAAAAAGAACAATTGCCCGAGTTGATTCTCCATTGAATGTGTTGTTCAGCTTTATGCTTGTTGTGCATAAGGTGTTTCCATGTTAGAGACTCCCCTGTATCCCATTTCTTACTAATAGGATTGGACCTTTGACAATATTTAGCTTTCAAAAAATCCCCCCAAAGAGTGTGTTTCGATTTGAAAATCCACCATTGTTTATATTGAAAAGCCATACAAACATCCTTGAGGTTTCTCATACCAATACCTCCCTCATCATAAGGAAAGCTTAAATTCTTCCATGACGCCCAATGGTATTTTTTCCTTTCATTCTTCATTCCCCAGAAAAAGTCAGCCATGATACTTTGGATCTGCTTGAGGACCGTAACTGGAGGGTTCACTGCTGATAGTAGATGAATAGGCAGTGACTGCAGCACATGCTTGACTAGTATTGCTTTACCTCCATAGCTCAATAGCTTTGTTTGCCAACCTGTGATTCTGCATAACACTTTATTAATAAGATCAGAAAAATAAGTAATCCTAGGTCTACCAACAAATAAGGGGCAACCAAGGTAGGTAATAGGACCCTCCTTTTGCTTGAAACCAGTGATTCTTTTAATTCTGTCTCTTGTGCTGTTGAAAGCATTGGAGTGGACCATAAAATGGCTCTTGTCTGTGTTAACTAGCTGTCCTGAAGTTTCCTCATAAGAGCTCAGTGTTTGCATAATTAGCTTCAGTGTTCTCTGTCTACCAGAAGTGAACAGAATAATATCATCAGCAAAACTCAAATGATTCACTTGGGGTCCTCTTAGGTCCATGAAGAAGCCATGATAGTCCGGGTTGTTATGGAGGTTGTTCAAGGATCGAGAAAGGACTTCTGCACCTAAAATAAATAGGGCAGGAGATAAAGGATCACCTTGCTTGAGACCTCTAGTGGATTGGAAGAAACCATGTCTTTTGCCATTGACAATAATAGAATACCAATTGTTAGCCATTATTCTCCAAACTATATCAATAAAGACCTCATCAAATCCCATTTTTCTTAATACTAAGCATATATAGGACCAAGAAACTCTATCATACGCTTTAGCCATATCCAATTTAATGATAACATTGCTCCCAATATTAGGCTTCTTAATCTGATGAATAATTTCTTGTGCCAGCATAATGTTTTCTGAGATACTTCTCCCTTTGACAAATCCAGACTGATTGAGTGAAACCAAATTAGGTAAAATAGGACCAAGTCTAGAGCTCACCAGTTTAGAGATGATCTTGCTAGTGAAATTGCTTAAACTTATGGGCCTGAATTCAGAGAGTTTGTTTGGATTGTTCACCTTAGGGAGTAGAACAATGCAAGAATGAGAAAAGTATTTAGGAATCATTTGGCCACAGAAGAAAGCTTGAATTACCCCAAGGAGATCATGCTTGATAGTATGCCAACATTTCTGGAAAAAATAGCCATTCATTCCATCAGGACCAGCTGTAGAATTAGGATTTCATAGAGAAAACCACTTCCTTCAGCTCATCCATTTTAGGCATGATAGTAAGGCTGTTATTTTGTTCCTGATTGACCATCCGGGGTATACAGTTGATAGCATTCTCATTAATAAACTTGTCCTCTCCTGTAAAAATATTTTGGAAATGGGCACAAGCAGCCTCTGCAATGTTGACGTCTCCTTGTATCCATTCTCCATCCTCTCTCTGAAGTTTATGAATGAACAATCTTCTTCTCCTTCCTCTTATCAGAGAATGGAAATATTTGGTGTTAGCGTCTCCCTCTTTGAACCATTGTAGTTGAGTTTTTTGTTTCAGAATGGAATCTTCCATTTTCAAAAATCTACTGTAATTTGCATTGAGCTCATGAAGGGTTGTCCTGTTGTCTTCAGTTTGATTATGAATCAGATTCTCTTCAGCAATCCTGACTTTTTCCTCATACTCCTTGACCCTAATGAAAATATCCCCAAATTCCCCTCTGGACCAAGAACTAAGAGTTTTGGACAACCTTTTCAATTTCTGGTGAAATCTCCACATGTTGTTACCCTCTACAGTCCTGTCCCAGCAAGCTTTAACTATATCAAGGAACTTGGGTTGATCAGCCCAGCAGTTGAGAAATTTAAAATACCTGATGTGCTCCTCTTCCCTAGCAGTCATTTCCAGCAATAAAGGACAGTGGTCTGATCCTACTGATGGTAGATGAGTGATGGTAGTCTGAGGCATTTTCTCCAGCCAACCATCATTAACTAGAGCTCTGTCCAGTCTCTTCCAGATTCTGTGATGTATACCCCTTTTATTAGACCAAGTAAATTTCTGACCACTGAAACCTAAATCCACGACGCCACATGCTTCAATCACTGCAATGAATTCAAGGCTTTTCCTTATGTTGTAGGGTACCCCTCCCATTTTTTCTTCAATGGAAGTAATGACATTGTAGTCACCTACGGAACACCATGGATTGGTATTTTCAGCAGAGTGATGCAACATTCTATCCCACAGCGGCCTTCTGAGTTGGTCCTTACACTTGGCATACACAAAGGTGGTGGTAAAGTGAGTCTGAAGTTCATTATGACCATTATGACCAATATTACAAGTAATTTGTTGTTCATCCTCCTCTAGTACAACACAATCAACGTCCATATTCCAAAAAAGCCAAATTTTGCCATTGCAATTACTCACCGCATGATCCATAGCTAAATGATTTTTAAAGTTATGAACATGTGTAATGTCTGAAAAAGGTTCTAGGATAGCAATAATAGAGAGATGATGCATCTTCTTTAGCATTTTGAGTCTTTCCAAAACACCTTGGGTGTTGATCCCCCTCACATTCCATATAAGAATACTAATCATTAAGATGATTTGGAAGTGAAAAGCCTAGTATTTGGTCTGCCAGCAGTGACAGTGTTAATGTTCTGAGTTCTGAAATGGAATCTATCATGATGTATTCCTCTGGGAGATAGTCCCTGTTCATTAGTAACCTGTTGAATCTCATCTCCAAGGCCTTTCTCAGGACAAGGACTAAATGCTCTAATAAGGAGTTCACTAGTCTCGTCATCCTCATCAGGGTCCTTGAGGGACTGATTATTCACATCTAAATCATCTTCAGAATTATTTACAGCATATTTATAAAAAATAGGACCTTTGTTAAGTCGACACTGTTCTGCCCTTTTGTCAGGGGGAATATTAGGAGGGGGGATCATATATTGGGTTTGTAGAGGAGTAATATCCATGCCCAGATGTTCATCTACCATGATAAATTTCTTACAGATCTCCTCATTAAGTTGTTCCCCCTGTTGGTCCCTATCCTGTTGCTGTTTTTGCTTCTTTTTCTCGGCTTCTCTCCTTTTCTTGCTAGGTTTATTCTTGCTTTTGGGAATGTTTAGTTGTTTACTCGTACTTGCTTTGGCTCCCATATCCTTTGCCATAGATCCCTTATTTTGTGTACCTGCAGTTCTTACCTCAGTTTGTTGTTTGTCCCTATCATTTTTTGTAGTAATTTGATTCTCGTCCCCCGTTTGTCCTTGTTGCTGCACCTGTTGAAGCCTTGGACTGTGTTGTTGGCCTTTAGTGGTAGCAGGAGTTCTAAGGTCCGAATTATGGTCAATGTGTGTACCCTCATGCAGAACATGAGGCAAAATCCCCCCTTTGGACACCCCTTCCTGCATGTTATTGTGTATCTCCTGACATCCCCCATCCATCCCTCCTTCAACTTCAGCATTACTATCAAGATGAGAAGTATTGGGGTGTATGGGAATTGGGAGCATTGAGTCAATACCTGTGCTCTTGATATTAGTTTTGTTTCTTGTTTGCATGGCCTGTGTTTTTTGGTTATGGTCTGCTTTAGGCCTGTTCTGTACTCCCTGTGTTGGTGTCTCTGCTTCACTGTTAGGCTCCTGCATGTCTGCATTTTGTTTTTCCTGCATGCTGAGGTTAGTAAATGAATTATGATTAGAGTTGTTAGATGTACCTGTTTGGTGAGCTGTGTCCTTTGGTTGCTCTTTTGTCAGTCTGTTCTGTGGTGAAGTAGGTCTCCACATTGTTCGCTGAACTCTTTCTTCCTGTGGTTTATTGTGTTTCCTTCTTTGTACTTGCCATTCATCCTCCTTCTGCTGCTCAGGTTGTTGATGATTGGTCTCTTCCTTTTTATTCTGTTGTTGCTGCTCCTCCTGTGTCTGTGTCTTGTTTTGTCTGTTCTCTTTTCCTTGTTGTTCCTGTTCATTTTTACTTATGTTTTTCTTTTCTGTTTCTAACTCCTTCCTTCTTTTGAAATCCTCATCCCTTGTTTTAAAGTTACATTCATCTATCGTGTGGCCCTAATGTCTGCAGTACGCACAGTAGGGAGGGATATTTTCATATTCAATAGATTGCCATCTCCCTATAGTGAGATCGTCATCATCCAAACCAATCCAAACATGTCTAGGTCTAGTCTTGGTAAGATCCACTTGGACCTTTACCTTGGCCATACTAGCTCTAGTTCTTTTAATGGATGCTGTGTCTAAATACAGAACTTTGCCCACAGATTCTAACAAAGGTGTAATAAACTCCTTCTTAAAGCAATGCCAAGGTAATCCTGGCAGCAGTACCCATATAGGAACAATAGGAGTTTCTTCTTCAGGCCTAAAATTGGGAGTCCAAGTTTGTATTCTCATAAGTTTGCCCTCAATGGTCATTCTTTGTTGTGTCCACACCGTGTTATAATCAAGTTCATTCTCCAAATCAATAAAAACATGTCTTGCATTATAATGAGCTATGTTGACCCCCCCATTCAGTTGGGTCTGCATGATAAAGCTTTTCCTGATAAGCTCTACTTTAGGCATGGTGGTACTAAATTTACCTATCAAGGTGTATTTACAATCCACCGCCAATTTGGTCATGTAGTCATCCATATCGAATATCACTGCCGGTTGGCCTTGTTTGGTAGTGTGCTTGGGTGGAACAAGTTCAATGGAGGTTGCTTGAGTAGCATGAATTTGTCTTAGTCTTGCTGCTAATGTTTGAACTACTGTATAGGGTGCAGGTTCTATGGTTTGGTCTCTAGTGATGGTTTGAGTCTCATTAGTATGGTTAGCACTTTTGATTTGAGTGGGGTGTTTTATTTGCTGACCTTCCTGATTGGGGAGGGTATGTTTATCAAAGTTACTCGAAATTTTGGGGAAGGCCTTTTGGTAATCATTGGGACCAGAATTCCCTCGATGAGTAATCAGTTGCGTTTGACTCGTGTTGTTGTCACTATTTTGATCTCGATCAACCTGTTGTTGGGAGCTATTTTCCTCCCTGCCCTGTACCTGATCATTCAGGATAACAGCTTTTTGCCCCTTCACATTACCCTGCACCTGGTCCTCACTACTACTCAAACTAACAACAATTCGACTAGAGTTAGGCTTAGTAGACTTACCTGTTTGGCTGTCATCTGCACTTTGATCTTTACTTTGTGACTTGGTGTTCTCTGCCTGCTGGTCCTGCAATTGAACATAACTAAGTTCATTATTAGAATTGACATTCTTACCTGACTTATGTTGTCCTTCATTGGCTAGAATTGTATCCGTTGGTTTGACTCCAAAGGAGAATTGTGGTTCATCCTCCACATCGATCACATTCAGAATTGTATGCCCTGTACTACCGTGTTGATTATTTTGGTCTTGCATACTTCCTTTATCTACTTGTTTCGATTGCATTTTCATATGTTGTTCCTCAATTGTGTGTTGGTTTTGCTTCTGACCCGTATGATCAGCATGATTATAGGCCCCCTGTTGTTCTGCTTCAGGTTCTTGTAGGAGTTCTTCAAGTTCAAGTTGATGATTTGTATTAGCACTAAAAAAACTTGAAGGAATTTCCTTTTGAATGTGTTTTTGAGTTAAATCCATAGATAAGTTGATATGGTGGTCTTCTTCATCTGTGGAGTTGGTCCTTTTACCGGCGTCGCTATCAGTTTTCGATTTTTCGACAGCTCCATCACCGGAATTCTCACCGCCGGCGATTAGACCGTCCATTTCACTTGAAATTGCTGTGAGATGAACTCCTTCACTAGATGAGTAATCCCCAGTGCTCAACTCGCCATGAAATTGTTGGGAAGTTGGTCGAAATTGAGGGCGCATTTCAGACGAAAGTTCGGCGATTTTTCCAGAAATCGCCTCCTCAGTTCGCGCGATTGGCAAGATGGAATAACTTGATATTTCAGTATGTTGTAGCCCTTGATTAGTAGAATCATTCCCACTAAACAGCTTTCCATGAATCACCATATCCCGATCTGGGGAATTAACTTTTTGAATCCCATCCAGCTCCCTTTCTGAAATCACGACGAGCACCGCTTCATTGTTTTGCGAATTCGTAGAGCTGTAGGATGAATTAGATGGCGAATCTTGATGGGTTTTGTTCGTCTGCTCAAGGCGCCTCTTTTGTGACTGTTTCGGCAGCCTGGGGATGCCTACCGGCGGCTCACGCGCCATTACGGCAGTTCCTGTAGCCGTTGGAATAGTAGCCGTTAGGCTCAGATTTGAGAGTGTTCAGTTTAGAGAGATAGATTTAGAGAGAGAAAAAAATTGAGAAATGAGGAAGCGATGTGTTTAGGTTTTAGGGTTTAGGATTTATGGTTTTGGGTTTAGGGTTTAGGGTTTAGGGTTTAGGGTTTAGGGTTTATTGTTTAGTGTTTAGGGTTTAGAATTTTTGGTTTAAGTTAGAGGATATAGGGTTTATGATTTAGGATTTAGGGTTTAGGGTTAGGGTATAGATTTTATTGTTTAAGGTTTAGGGTTTGGATTTGGGGTTTAGTGTTTAGGGTTTAGGGGTTATGGTTTAAGGTTTAGATTTTAGTGTTTAGGGTTTATGGTTTAGGGATTAGGTTTAGGGTTTAGGGTTTAGGGTTTAGGATTAGGGTTAAGGGTTAATGTTTTAGGGTTTAGGGTTTAGGGTTTAGGGTTTAGGATTTATAGTTTAGGATTTTAGATTAAGCGTTTCGGGTGTAGGTTTTAAGTTTTATGGTTTAGGATTTAGGGTTTATAGTTAGGGTTCTGGGTTTATGGTTTAGGGTTAAGGGTTTAGGATATAGGGTTCAGGGTTAGGGTTTAGGTTTTAGTGTTTAGGATTTTGAGTTTAGGGATTAGGGTTGAGGGTTTAGATTTATGATTTAGGATTAATGGTTTAGGGCTACAACTTAGTATTTAGGGATTCGATTTTGGGGTTTTGGGTTTAGTGTTTTGGGTTTATAGTTAGGGTTCTGGGCTTATGGTTTAGGGTTAAGGGTTTAGGATATAGGGTTCAGGGTTACGATTTAGGTTTTAGTGTTTAGGATTTTGTGTTGAGGGTTTAGGGTTGAGGGTTTAGATTTAGGATGTAGGATTAATGGTTTAGGGCTACAGTTTAGAATTTTTGGGATTAGATTTTGGGGTTTTGGGTTTAGTGTTTTGGGTTTAGGGTTAGGGTTTAGGGATTAGAGTTTATGAATTAGGATTTAGGGTTTAGTATTTAGGGTTTAGGGTTTAGGTATTAGAGTTTTGGAATTAGGGTTTAGGGGATAAGGTTTAGGGTTTAGGGTTTAGGGTTTGGGTTTGGGGTTAGGGTTTTGGTTTATGGTTTAGGATAAAGGGTTTAGGATTTAGGGTTTAGGGTTAGGATTTAGGTTTTAGGGTTTAGGATTTTTACTTTGGGGTTTGTGGTTTAGGGTTTAGGAGTAATGGTTTAGGGCTATGGTTTAA